AAGAGAGCTCCATGTCCAGGAGGTTCTCCTGAGGGGGGGGGGGGGGGGGGGGGCGTGTTTGTCCAGGGCTGCTCGAAGAATTTCATCGTAAGGTCTCCGGGGGCACAGCGGGCATAGGCTCGAGGCATAGGCGCCAAAGAGGCGTGGCGAGGCCGCGTGGCAGTCGGGCGGGCGGGGTGGGCGCAAGGGGTCGGCCGCTGCGCGATGGGGCTACTCGGCGGGCGGCGGGTGGCACGGCCGCCTCCTCGGCGCTGAAGGGGGAGGCGGCGAGGAACGGATTCGCGCCGGACGGCTCCGGCGACGCCATCTCGGCCTGCACGTCCCCGGCCGAGAGGCGGTAGGACCCCTGGGCGGCCGCCTTTGGGCGCGGCGAGAAGCCGTGCGTGGGGCCGCCGGCGCCGTGCATCGATGCCTCGTGCGAGCTGGACTGCGGCGAGGAGGGCTCCTCCCAGCTGCCGCCGCGGATGCGGAGGACGAGGACAGTGCAGCTCCTGTGAGCGCCGTGGCGGGGGAGGGTGAGAGCTGGCCCATCGAGGGCGGGGCGGGAGGGCTGGGGAAGGGTGGGGCAGGGGTTCGCGTCTCCCTGCGAGAAGGTCGACGCAGCGCTGCTCGAAGGGGCGGTGCTCCCAGGTGTCGAAGTAGGTGCCCCGGCCGGCCGGCGCGTCGTACGCTCGCACGGTGACGCCGAGCAGGTCGTCCTCGCGCACCCACTGCCGCACGTGGCCCTGCTCGTTGTAGGCTTGCAAAAAGGGCTGGATGAGGGAGGCGCGCACCTGCGGGGGCACGTGCGGGGCGGTGGACATTGCTGCAGATGCCGTGCGCAGGTGCCGTGCAATGGGGCCGCACGGAGGCGCCGGGGGCGGGGGGCCGCTGGGGAGAGGGGGCGCGGCGGGGCGCGCCGTCTTCTTGAGCCATCCGGGGCCAACCTTTGCGGCGAGGGGCTCCCCCTCGGGTCCGTGGATGAGGAAGACGGCGCCCTTGCGCGACAAGATCAGGCTCTTTGCCGCAGCCTCACGCGCAGAGCGCATCACTTGGAGCTCCTCTTCGGAGCGGAGAGTCACGGTGACCCGGAACTTGTCCCCTTCGACGAGCGTGCCGCCCTCGCTCTCCGCCTTTGCCTTGAGCAACTTGCGCACCGACAGCCGATAGATGGCCCACGCGTGCAGCTGCTCGTCATCCACGCCGACGCCAACCACGTGGCAGATCTTGAACCGGCACGCGTTGCGATCCTGCTTGCCTACGGCGAGGCGGCGAGTGCACGGCGTCGCGTCCCGCGCCCAATGCGCCGTGGCAGCCGCGGGGTGCAGGCTCACCAAGCTCCGAGAGGAGAGGGCCGATCAGCGCCTTTGAGAGGGGCTTGGCGAGCATCGTCTTGGTGAGCGTGGTGGCGTAGGCCCTCTCCTCGCCTCCCTGCTGCTCGCGCACCACCACCTCAAAGTCGACGGAGCCACCCACCAGGGCGTCGCCATCGTGCGAGATGCTGCTCGACGACAGCTTTTTGGCGAGGCCTCCGATCCCGCCCTTTGCCAGGACATTGGAGGGCAAGGATGGCATGGAGGGCGACTTCATCCCTTTGAAAGACGGCATCGACGGCATCGACGGCATCGACGGCGACTTGATCGAGAGCGTGGGCATGTTGAGTGACGACCTGCCTCGGCTGATGGCCGTCGGGGTTGTAGACCGAACCAAAGCAAGCCCGCAGCTCTCCTCGTGTCCCCCTCGGGTACCCCTGGGATACCTCGCGAACGAAAAAGTATTTTCTCGGCGTGTGGGGGCGCGGAGGGCTTGTTGGCGAGCCAAATTGGAATTTAGGAGGCGCTGCGCTAGGCGCCTGGCTGCGACAGAAGACAGGCGGCTGGAAAAAGAAAGGCTCTCAAGATCGACCGAGACACAGATTCAGCTCCTGATCAGAATGGGCACAGAAAGACAGACCGACTCATACTCTCAAGACTTCAACGGGGACCGACACGCAAGCTTCCACTTCGTCCACTAACTTGGCTACCCTTCTCTCGTCGTATCTCCCCTCCCAAGGGGGCCACCTCGGCGACACAAGTCCGCAACTGGTACACCGCGACTGTGAAGAGGGTCGCTCGTCCAATGCGAGCCAGTTCGCTCGCGACGCCGCCGCCGCCGCCGCCGCCGGAACGACCGCGGCGGCCGGTCGAGCGGCCGCCCCGGCCAGCGGCCGTATCGAGCCTGCCCGCCCGTCGCGAAGGTACGGACCTCACGCGCCCCACCGGCCGCCCGCGCCGCCGCGCCCTCGTCCCTCTCTCAAGCCCAGCGCCACGCCGCTACGACTCAACACACACACACACACACACACACACACACACACACACACACACACACACACACACACACACACACACACACACACACACACACACACACACACACACACACACACACACCATCGCGACGACTCCCGTGCTCGCTCCTGGCGCAGGCGATCGACTCCTGACACCCATCGAGCGGATGGGCGCGTCCCCCACCGGTACTCTCGACCGACTTTTGAGACGGCCGCGACGGGCGAGCGATGTCGAGGGGGCTGTGGCAGTGAGAGAGGGCGCGCAGGAGGAGCTCCGTGGGGAGGTCGAGGAGGCGAGTGGGCGGCGGCGTGTCTGGCGAGGGCGCGGCGGTGGCGGCGGGGGCGAGGCGGCGCGAGCGGCGGCGGCGAGAGGACCGAGGTGGACATATGCACACATGTCACATGCACATGCACATGCACATGCACATGTTGTGCATGACATGTGCATGCATATCGCGGTCAAAAGAATTCGTCGAATCCCGTTATGGCCGTGCGACCCCCGCAACCCCAGGGCGCGGTTACACCGCCGAGAAAAGTCGACTGCACTACTCCAAGACCAAGTGCTCCAACCTCCAAGGGGTTTTCTGTACTCGAGTACCACGGAAACACATCTCCCGACAAAAGTCAAAACGATGCTGTCACGCAAACGCGGCCACGCTCGGTCGCGTCCGGTGGGGGCGGCGCTTCCGCAGTCGCGTCAGCGGACTCCGCCACGCCTCCAGCTTCGCCTCGACCCACCGCTGCCGCTCCCGGAAGCGGCTCTCCGCCAGCGCGTACTGCTCGTTGCGCAGCACCGACGTGGCCGCCTCCCAGCTCCACCGCCTCGCCTGGTGGCAAGTGCCGGGTGGCGGTCAAGCCACGCGGAGCCCGTCTCCTCGCGACGGAGGGTCTCACGCCGCGCTGCCGCGCCTCGGCGCACGCCGCTCGGCCCATCTCCCACCGCAGCCGCGGATCGTCGATCTGCGGGACACGGGGGCAGATTTGTGAAGTGGACTTGTGAAGTCGAGATCGTAGTAGCCGATCAGAGGCCTCTCACACACAGCCGAATGCGGCCGAATGCGGCGGAAGACGTGCTCCTCTCGAGCGCTGGTGGGAGTACAGGGAAGACGGGGTTCAGCTTCTAGGCTCCCCGGCCAGCCGCCCAACCTTCGCCGCCAGGTCGGCCCCGTCGCCCGGCGTGAAGAGCAGACCCGTCTCGCCTATTCACAGCTGTACTGTTCACAGCTGTACTCTTCACAGCTCGGCGTGAAAAGCAGCCCCGTCTCGCCTATTCACCGCTGTACTGTTCACAGCTGTACTCTTCACAGTTCGGCGTGAAGAGCAGCCCCGTCTCGCCTATTCACAGCTGTACTGTTCACAGCTGTACTCTTCACAGCTGAGCGTGAACAGCAGCCCCGTCTCGCCGTCCGCCACCAGGCTCGACAGCCCGCCTGCCCACAGCTTGCGTGTGTGCGCGGCCCGCGTCTCCTTTTTTGTCACGGCCGCCACCAGAACAGACAGCCCGCCATGCGTCGGCGGCTAATCTCGGCGCATCTCGGCGCACCTCGGCTAATCTCGGCTAATCTCGGCTCAATCTCGGCTAATCTCAGCCCGCCCGCGTCGGCGGCGACGGCGGGCACGCCCGAAGCCATCGCCTCGAGCACGACGAAACCCAGCGTCTCCGAGTCGGAGGGCATCACCTGCGCCCAACCACCAGGACGCCTCACCGCAATCGTGTCACGCGGCTGTCGCCCGGCGACTCGGCGGGCACTCACAAAGACGTCCGCCGCCGCGTACGCGCGCGAGAGGTCCTCGCCCTGCAGAACGCCTAGTAAAAGTGAAATCGCCGATGCGCGGGGATTTCTTTTTTACGAGAGGTCCTCGCCCCCGCAGAACGCCGGCAAACACCGCCGCCGCACCGGCAAACTCGCGGCGCAAACTCGCCTCCGGGCAGACCAGTCAGAGGGAGGTGTTGACCGTTGGTGAGGGACGGTGTGAGAGCAGAGCTGTGAACAGTACAGCGGTGAAGAGTGCAGCTGTGAATAGGACGGTGTGAGAGCAGAGCTGTGAACAGTACAGCGGTGAAGAGTGCAGCTGTGAATAGGACGGTGTGAGAGCAGAGCTGTGAACAGTACAGCTGTGAAGAGTGCAGCTGTGAATAGGACGGTGTGAGAGCAGAGCTGTGAACAGTACAGCGGTGAAGAGTGCAGCTGTGAATAGGACGGTGTGAACTCGCCTCCGCTGGCCCCCCGCCAACGATCGCCAAAGTCGCGTCCGGCCTATTCACAGCTGCACTCTTCACAGCTGCACTATTCACAGTTCTGCTATCGCCAAAGTCGCGTCCGGCCTCGCGTCCAGCACCGCCCGCAGCAGCTCGACGCGCCTGTGACCGAGTCACCACCTTCGCTGGCCAAAGAGCCGAGACAGCCTGGCCGCAGCAGCTCGACGCGCTTCTCCGCGCCGAGCCGCCCGACGTACAGCAGCAGCGGCCTAAAAAAGAAATCGCCCAGGTGCGGGATTTCTTTTTTACGAGCCGCCCGACGTACAGCAGCAGCGGCCTACGCGATCTCGGCCATTTCTCGGAGGGCGGCGGCGGGAGACGCGGCACGAGTCCAGCGACAGCAGCGGCGGCCGGTGCGGCTGCCCGCCCGTCAGCGCGTGCCGGGCGTGGGCGTTGGAGACGTTGAAGGCGGGCGAGAAAGTGAGCGTGTCGACGCCCTTGCGCCACACCTCGACGCGCCTGCAGCCGAGCGCCTCCCCTACCCCCCAAGGTACCCGAACCCACCCTCCCCTACCCCACGGTACCCGAACCCACCCTCGACGCGCCTGCAGCCGAGCGCGCGCAGCTGCTGCTGCAGCTGCGGGCTCGTGGCGAGCGTGAGGTCGGCGCAGTTGAGCAGCCGGGGCAGCAGCGCGTCTGCCAGCTTCACCGCGAGCCAGCGCAAGCCTGTGGGTCCGGGCCTTGGTAACATACACAGGCGAGGCGAGGCGAGGCGAGGCGAGGCGAGGCGAGGCGAGGCGAGGAGAGGAGAGGAGAGGCGAGGCGAGGCGAGGAGAGGCGAGGAGAGGAGAGGAGAGGAGAGGAGAGCAGAGGAGAGCAGAGGAGAGCAGGGGAGAGGAGAGGAGAGCAGAGCAGAGCAGAGGCGAGGCGAGGCGGCGCCGGGGGTGGTGACGTAGCGCGCGGCGTAGACGGAGAGGTGTGTGTGGTACGAGACGACGAGAGGGACGGAGAGGAGGCGAGAGTACCTGCACTCGCGGGTGCGGGTGCGTGTGTGAAGAGTCGCCGTTCACACAGAGAGAGGCGCGCGACGGGAGGCGCGCGCACAAGATGGCGGGCAGGGCGAGGACGCCGGGGGCAGAGACGTGGAGGAGGCTTGGCCTATTCACAGCTGTACTGTTCACAGCTATACTATTCACAGGCAGAGACGTGGAGGAGGCTTGGCCTATTCACAGCTGTACTGTTCACAGCTATACTATTCACAGGGCAGAGACGTGGAGGAGGCTTGGCCGGAAGGAGCGGAGGGCGCGGAGGGCGACGCGGCGGCAGTCGAGCGAGAGCTGGACCTGACGAGGTGTGAGGAGCGTCTGCTCACGCCTCCAGGAGCAGTTCGGTGCGCTGGACACGAGGGGAGGGGGAGGGTTGAAGGCTGGGGCGAGGGCGAGGGTGAGGGTGAGGGTGTGAGGGAGAGGGAGAGGGTGAGGGTGAGGGTGAGGGTGAGGGTGAGGGTGAGGGTGAGGGTGAGGGTGAGGGTGAGGGTCAGCGGCGGTGGCGCGAGTGCAGTGTCGCCTGCTTGTAGAAAAGAAGGCGGAAGCCGGGCAGGTAGGTGATCGGTACGCCGAGGAAAGAGCGCGGCCGCTCCGGTGTGTCGTCCGGCGTGATCACAGTCACCTATTCCAGGCGAGGTGGAGGCGGTTCGGTGTGGTCGGGCGACAGCGCACCACCAGCCTGTGCACCTCGTCGCCAGCAGCGACCAGGAAGCGGAGCATCTCCTTGAAGCGATTGGAGTAGCCGCTGATGTGCGTGAATGGTGTGGGCTCCACGAGCAGCGCAACTCGGCGGGGCGGGTAGAGGTTGAGACGCGGCACTTGTGGTGGCTCGAGCGGCGTCGCCAGGTGCAGGAGCGCCACGAACAGCATAGAGCCGACCGCGCCCCAGGTGCGTGGTCGGGGGTTCGTGTTATGTGAGGAGTCGGTCAGCGTCCGCGAGGACGGACGGAGGCGACGCCGCGCAACACCATCCCCGCCGGGATGGCTTCCTCCGCGTCATCGTCGTCGTCGCCGCCGACAGCATCGCCGTCGTCGCCCACACCACCCGCCGCCGCGACTCGTCGTCCCCTCGACGCGACGCTTTGCACCGTGCTGCTTGGCACGCGCGACGAGGGCAGCCCGCTCTGCAAGCTCGCGGGCCACGTGGACGTGCTCGAGGCCATCTGGGTGCTCGTGGAGCGCGAGCGGGCGCTCGACGCGCTTCGCGCGGACAAGGAATGCGTTGCATTCGCGCACGTGGACGACGTCAGCTTCCCGACGCCCAAAGGCCGCAACGTGAACATGATGCCCTTTCGTCTCGACGACCTCTCGACTCTGCCCGCCGACTTGCAAAAGGACTATGGCTACATGATCAAAGTCTGCCGCAACAACCTGAGAGGCTGCAGGGATGAGCAACGGAAGCCAAAGTACAGCGTTGGGCAGGCGAAAGCTCAGGCCACGCCAATGCCAGAGGACATGCGCATCGCCTACCTGACGGTGCAGGAGAGCGTCGTCAACGAGGGCGAGTCGCAGCGCCGCTCGGGCCTTCACACTGAGGGATTCGCGTACCTGCCGTTCGAGGCTGGCAAGCAAGAATGCGTGCGCGAACGGGTCTGGGAGCCTTGGGGCTACGGAGACGCGCTGCATGGCGAGTTCACCGGAGGCATATTCATGGCGTCGGATGTGGACGACTCTACGCACGTCTACAATTGCCGCGTCCCCGAGATCCTCGTGGGCGCGGGTGGCGATGTTGAGCACCTGCGGCCCATTCTGAACGAGATTATGCCGTTGTCCGCCAAAGCGCGCTATGAGGATGGCGCAGGCGACACCATCGGCTCGGCGCACCTGATTGAAGGCGGCGTGCAACGCGTTCTTTGGCCGATCAGCCTGCAGGCCGAGCAGCTCTTCTGGATGACCGACCACACGCCGCACGAGTCGCGGCCGCTCGAGAAGGGACAGCACCGATGCTACTTCCGGCTTGTCACCGGGCGCGTCGGCGCATGGTTCGCCGCGCACTCGACGCCCAATCCGCTCGGCACGCAGCCGAATGCGCGCATCATCACGCACGACAAGTTCACCGGCAAGCCGCCTCCCGCCAAGGGAGACTTCAAGGAGGAAGCGTCGGCGGCAGCAGCAGCACCACCAGCACCAGCACCAGCAAATGATGCGACCGAGGACTCCGAATTGACGCGCCTTGAACGCCTTGAACTGAATTGAGGTACTGTGGAGAGAGGTGTTTTGCTAGTGTGAGTGCGCCGCTTTTACAGGCACATCATGCCCCGTTTCATAAGTGTATAAGTTTCATCGAAAGTTGTTTTCAGGACCCGACCAAGTTCTCGACGGACGAGGAGGAGGTCGAGCAGGAGCTGCTGCGGATGGGCGTCGGCTGGGGCAAGGGCTCGTTCGAGGAGGAGCGGTACCTGGAGGCGAACTGGGACCCGTCGCCGCACAAGAACCCGCCCGCGTACCTGAAGGCGATCAAGCCGATCACGCGCGAGCCGTGGACCATATCGACCAGCAGGTCTACAACGCGACCTTCGACACGTCTGTCAAGGACCAGGCCAACCGCGCGGGCGACTTTGAGGACACGGACGTGCTCGAGAACGAGACCGCGGTGCAGCTCGACAACGGCGGAGAGGCGCGCTTCAAGAAGGGCGCGTTCAACGCGTACAAGAACGAGCGCAACCGCAAGCTCCACGCCGACCCGTGGGACTCGTCGACGCGTACATGGTGAGAGAGAGAGAGAGAGAGAGCGAGGCAGGAGCTATCTCCCGTCGAGTCTGTGCCCTCTCGGTCTGCTGCATTGCTGCGTCGCCGCTTGTTTGTGAGAGTCTATTAGGAACAGAGAATGATGACGCGCGAGGAGCGCCGGTTTCTTCCCTCCGAGGTAGAGCGTCCTGGCCTTCCTCTCCACTCGGATGTCCGTCTCCTGGTTCGCCCTTCTTCGAACGTGTGTTCTGTCATGTTGGGTCCGCTCGTGCACACCCCGTTTGCCTCCCTGCTGTATTCAATGAATCGATCGAGCACGTCGCTCCACGACGGAGCATTACTCTTTCCATTGCACGTCTCTAGTGCTCTGTCCGCTTGCGCTCTGCCTCCGGCCCCGAACTACCTAGTCTTCTGCGGTGTTCTAGCCGCTCTCGGAAGGACGCCGCTTGCCGTCTCACGCCTTGCGCGTGCATTAGCTCCCGCTCCCATGTGTTAGCGAGATTACCGACAAATCCTACGCTCTCCATCTTATCGTGCCACACCCAACTGTCGCTCCGCTCGCCTTCCCATTCGCAGAGGTACTCCCATCCGTGTTCGTCCTCCCCCATGCCTCCCCCATAGCAGGTCGGCGCCTTCCTTGCCGCCTTCACCTTCAGCACCCTATCGGGCGCCCTCCGTCCCATCTTCTGTCCGTGTGCGCGCTCTTCTATAACCGCCCACTTCCAGTATTGTCGCAGCTGTGCCCACTCTGGTCGCTCCAGCTGCTCCGCCAGCCTCTTGTATTCGCTATGTTCCGTCGTGCTGTCTTTGAGGCCATAGACTCGCTTCACTTGCGGCCACGTCAACACTTCCCCGGTGCCCCATACCCCCATTCTGACACGTCCGACCATGTCGCTATCCCGTGCTTGGCTAGGTTACGTGCAAAGTCACACGCGAGGCCTTGGTTATTGGTAATATCCCCTTTGCAGCCAAGCCTACCTCGTACGTAAGCTTGTCTGTCGTCCTCCACACCGCCGTGGCGTGGCAGACGGTGAACGAGCTAGCGTGCGGGGAGAGCGGCATTGTGCATGGTGCGGAGTGCATTGCCGTTCTTAACGGAGTCGCTTAGGCGGCTCCGGTGGTGAGCCGGTGTGTGTGCCAGTCCGCGCCAGTCCGCGCCCTTGTCGTGCCAGTGTGCTGTGAGAGAGGCTTGGATTTTCAAGAATTCTTTTCCACCAGAGACGCTGATGCGCTCTTCGTCAAAGACGCACGCCAATGGAAGACACTCGTGTTTGCTGGGGCGCTGAGCTCTCGGGGACGCGGTCGCGCTGCGCAGCGCCGGTCACCTCGGCGGTGGACGCCTCGACGCCCCACGCTGCGTCTCAAGTAGCGGGGCATCTTGCGAGCAAGGCAACAGCGCTCCCATGCGGTCGCTGCATACCCACTCCACGCCTCGCCTCAGCCGTCTCTTTTTCTCTTTAGATGTGCAGCCGCTGCCGAGCTGAGCTCGCTATCCCGTGCGACCGCGTCCGAATGCTGAACCAAGACACGGCGGACAGCCTGCGCATGGTCAAGACGAGCGGCGTGTGGAGCGTGTGCGAGGGCGCGTTTCATGGCAAGGCCTTTCGCCTCGCCAACAACACCAAGCGGTCCAACATGAAAAAACACGTCGGAGCGCCAATGGCGATCCTGGCACTGGCGCCGCCGCCGCCGCCGCCCGCCGCCGATGCCGCCGATGCCGCCGATGCCGCCGATGCCGCCGCCGCCGAACCAACTGCTCGCAAGCGAGAGCGGGAGGGGCAAGAGGAGGTACTCGTGGACCTACAGCTCTTGAGCCAACTCGTCGAGGAGGGCGAGCAGAGCTCCGCCGTTTTTGCGGGCGTCGGCCCGCCTCTGCCGCATTCCGCAGCTGCGGAGGCGGATCCGGCGGCGGCGGCGGCGGATCCGGCGGCGTTGATTGGGCCAACGGGTTCGGGGGTGGGCTCGGCGTTCGCGGATAGCATGGGGCCAGTTCTCGCGCCGAGAGTGGCTGCACTGGACAGTCGCGCTCCTCTGCAAGTAGGCGCCGCGCTATGTCTCTCGGTTCGTCTGCCGCTTCGTCGGGTGCGGCAAGGACTACGCGTCGACCGATAGCGTGCGTTCCCATTGCAGGTACAGCGGTGTGGCGCCCGCATTTCACCCCCCCCCCCCCCACACACACCCTCCCCCAACCCACGCAGGAAGGAGCACCCGGCCTGGCTGAACAGCCTTCCTGCCCGCAAGCCGTCCCTCCTCTGCGAGCAAAAGCAGGTCGAGATCGCGCCCTCCGTCTCGACCTCGCCGGTCCCAGACGAGTATCTGCACGAGGGCGAGGGCGGCGCACTCTTCGTCAAGTTTAAGGTCTCCAACCGCACCCTCGTGCCCCTCATGCGGAGTGAGGGCGTGGCACGGCTCGCCTCGAGCACGGAGACGGCGCCGATGAACACGCCGGGCGAGCTGCAGGCTGGCTCCCCGCTGCCCTTGCCGCTCCTCGAGCACCGTCAAGAGCAGGCCGGCGGCGGAGGTGATTTCGAGGGCGCGGCGCCTCACGTACATCTAGCGCAAGTCGCCGTGGACGTCTTCTCTGGCGACGAATTGATGGCGCTGATGAGCGACCCCTCCGCCTCCGTGCCGCCCTCGCCACCGGCCACGCCGGCGCCGCTGCTCTTCGCGGCGCACCAGGGCGTGATAGCACCGATCCAGGTCACGCTCGCCGTCGTGGTGGTGTGCGTCGCCTTCCTGGCCGAGCTCTACACCGTCCCGCTCATCCTGTTCGCGGCCGCGGGGCTGGCCGTGATTGACGTCGCCTACATGGCACAAGCCTCGCCTCGCATTGTCGCGCGCGCGGTGATGCTGCTGGTCGTGAGTGCCCCGACGCTGCGTGTCGTCGACGTCCTCGTCCGCTCGCCGGCAGCGCTGATTGATGAGCTCGACAAGCTGGAGGACGCAAGGCTTGGCATGGTCGCGCTCTTTGTAGCGGGCGGCGCCACCTTCGGAGCCTTCTCGCCCTCCACTCTCTCTTGCAAATGTAAGCTACGCGCAGCGGCCTACTCTGTCTGCGCAGCTACGTGCGGCGACTCGATCTTCCGCGTCCGAATGGGCGACGAGCGGATGCCTGCCTTTGCGATTCTTAACGGCGCCCTTCCCTTCTTTGCGGCCGTCCTCATTGCCCACGTAGCCTCTCGGCAGCTTTATCAGACACGACTCCCCGCGCTCTGACGCTATAGCTTGCACTCATGTCATCCGGCGGGGCTGAAATCAGAGTATGCTAGGACAAAGCATGTAGCATGTGCATGTGCATGTGCATGTATGTGCATGCACACACGTTGTGAGCATAATGGGCGGGATCCGGGATGGTGGCCAACAAACACTGCGACCCCTCACTGTGTCCCGCTGACGGGAACTGATTTCTTTGTCTTCCCACGCACAACATCGAATGGTCGGGTAGTACATGTACGGCTTCAGGGCTAGAGCTGTCTATAATATAGGCTCATAGATGGATGGCGAGTGCGCTGCGATAGAGGCGGCTGGAAAAAGAAAGGCTCACAGAGATCGACAGAGACACAGAGCTCCTGGGATCAGAACGGGCGCACAGAAAGACAGACCGACTCATACAACTCTCAAGACTTCAACGAGGACCGACACGCAAGCTTCCACTTCGTCCACTAACTTGGCTACCCCTCTCTCGTCGTATCTCCCCTCCCAGGGGACCACCTCGGCGACACAAGTCCGCAACTGGTACACCGCGCCTCGGCGCTCGCTCGAGTTGCCAGCCGCCGTCGTGGCTATCCACGCACTCTGCTGCGGCCGGCGACCAGCGCAAAGCATCGTCACGCCGTATGCCGCGAGGGAGGGCGCGCGGCGGAGGAGACGAGCAGGAAGTCGCCTTCGCTGTGGTTCGAGAGCAGCATCGGCACCGGCCGCCGTGCCGGCCACTCCTCCCACGCGTCGTCCGCCGCCACCGTCTTTGCGACGCCGGTGGCGGCGCACTTTGTGACGTTGGTCACGAGGCCGCGCCGGCCGAGCGAAGCCACGTTGTGCACCGCGCCGACGGTGGAGCCGACGGCGCACAAGGCCGAGGAGGTGACCCGTCCGGCGTCCTCTCCGAACCGGTGGCTGACAGCGCCAGAGGCGACAGCCGCCGTCGACGAGCAGACCTGCACAGTCGGGCTCGCGGCGCCTCAAGCGCGGCTGCTATCTCGTCCTACCATCGGGGGGGGTGAGGCGGACCTGCGAGCCCGACTGGCCGAGCGCGTCAAACACCTCGCGCGTGGCTGCGACAGAGGCGCCCCCTGCAGGGGCGGCATGCGACGGCTCAGGCAGCGTGGGCAGGAGGGCGATGGGGCAGGGGGCGGGCCGGAAGGGGGTGGGGACGGCGGTGAGGGGGGAAAGGAAGGGGAAGCGCGCGCCGATGGCGCGGATCGCCGCGCCCAGTCGCGTCTGCGTGCCCTCAAAGTTGTGGCCGAGCCGTTCGGCGGCGGCGGCCCCTGCGCGCGAGGCTGCGACGCCGACGCCGAGCGAGACGTTGGCGGTGATTCCCTGAGGAGAGGGGGGGGGTGGGGGGGGGGGAGGGCGCCGCTCGTTGGGGTTGGAAGAGGGAGGGGTGGGGAGCGCGGGGGTGGGAAGGGGTGGGAAGGGGTGGGAAGGGGTGGGAGGGTGAGGGGTTGGCGGTGGAGGGTTGGGATCGGGGGAGGGGGGGGGGGGGTGCCCACGGTGAGAAAAGGGCGCGCGCAATCTGGAGGGGCCCTCGGGTCTTCACCGCCCGGGGGACCGTCGAGACCCCCTTGATGGCCGCCTCGAGGGAGC